ATTAAAGTATCTCTTTCCTAGCAAGCTGACACTTGAGTGTGGACATGTAAACACTGATAAGGAAAACCAAAACATAGAACATTAGACTCCTAAAGCACTATGGTGCAGGTATAGGATATTAGTATCCTTTGAGGGTCTTTCATAAGCACTCTGCTTAGTTTTTAAAGTTGTACCTGAAATTGATATGGAAACATCCTACTCTCATTGCAGCCTGCTATGTAAGCAGATGTTCAAGGGAGAAAGTCAAAATAAAAAGAATGAGTGGCTTCTTTGGAGTTTGTAGGAGAAGCAAAAGCAATAAAGAGTCCTTTAGAAAAATTAGGTAAGGTGTTTCCTACTGAAGGAATTGTTCAGGTAGCGAGTTGTTCATATATTGGAAGCATGCCAGCTGAGAGTGGAAAAAGAAAAAATATATAGGGAAGCAAAACATAGCCACACAGATAGCAAATGCCAAGCACTGGACACCAGATATCAAAGATTTCTGGCATCCCAGAAACCATCAGGCAACAGCAGCATCAGCACAAAAAACATGGATTTTCCTGCATACATTCAAACCAGCTAATGGCTGGATGAGCAATTTGAGAATTTAACCATTTTCTCTGTGTGTCTGTGCAGTATGCTTAAAGCCTAAGTAAGATACTTCACTTTGAGATTCACTTTGTCATACATTTTTACTTATAAGAACTTTAGATATTTTAAGATATGTATTCTTTGTTTTTTTGATTGTGCCTTTTAAGGCTATATGCTCCAGCATTTTTAAAATATATGTTCCTGCCTGGCTTAGCGAAAAGTCAAGGTCGAACGTATGATGCTCAAACACAGGCTTCTGATTTTTCCTAGAGGTTTGTAAAGGTCTATAGGACTGTGAGGGTAGGTTTTCAAGCATCAGAATTTCTGACCAGACTTAGACAAAATGAGCCAAGATTTATATCTCATTCTGACCCAACATACTGTATATGGAATTACAAATGATATTATAGAAAAAACCATTAGAAAATTCTGGGATTATGGCTTCTAATTAAATAAATTGCATTTCATATATATAAAAGATTATTTATAAACTCTTGCCTTTTGCAAGAAAAGGCAGAGAAGGAATGAGATGTTTATACTGCTTTGGAAGATAATGCCTTGATGACATTTGAATATTCATATAATGCAGGGGATCTATTTAATAGTGATATCTGTTAAGTTTATTGACAACTGTAATACTGCCTTTTAACAACAGATTCATGGACAAGTTATTTATTAAATACTTCAGACAGATTAGATGTATGTAACAACAAAAATGACCAATTGATTACAGTTAGCATGAGGCCATTGATGGGAATAACTTGAAGACTATTGATTTGTATACCTTCAACGTGTATTAGAATTCCACCAGTCACCAAGTTATGCTCACATCTATCAAGAGAGATAGATATTCTCTTTCTTCCTCAATATGGTACTGCTTTTATACCATCCAAATCCTGGAATCTTCATAGATTTGCTTCAGTTCTGTGCATCATTAGAATCCCTCAGATCCTCAGCGTCTCAAAAGACAAAACAGAACAATTTAAAATCTTTCACCTTTTACAACAACAACACTCTATTCATCAATTCTTTTGTGCAATATAAAATTACAGTTAGGCTGTTATAAGGAAATGAGCATGTCATGTTTCAATGTGCACTTGACTAATCAAGAACCCTTATTCATGAGGATAAAACAAAGGCAATGTTTGAATTGGGTTAAAATGATTATTACAGTGAAAGAATCACACGATGTGTCATTTTTTAAACTCATGTTCTAGCTCTGAAGTGATGCATCAGCATCCATAACTGCAGGATAACCATAAACTGCATTTTCATGTTAATGAAAAGGACTTCTGTATGTGAAAAATTTTAGTGGTGGTTATCTATTTACTAATTTTGTGCTTTTCACTCAAATTTATTAGGAGTCAATGGAACTTGGATCTTTTTGATGTACAGTAAATGCTTTCTCTCCTTCCACTTACTAGAATTGAACCTGTAATAAGTTTTCTTTCAGCAGGTACTCTAAGCATTTCTCTCCTTAGGTCACATTTCAAGAACAGAGAGGGCCTTACTTTTTCCTTCAGATTCTGTATCTATTTCATTTTTAAATGTTCATGTTGATGTATATCCGTTCCATTTTTGTGTGTGTGTTTCCATTACATTACATCCCATTATACCTTCAAAAATATCTTGCAAAATGATCCTGTCTTCGTATTTTAATATATCTGAGCAGCCTGGTTAGTAGTTACTGTACATTGTGAAGACATCTTGACTAATATTCTTTAGAATGAGACCTTATTACTCCTTACCAAAAAAAGAAAAAGAAAAAAAATCAACAATGGCCTTTTTTAAAAGAACATTTTTACAGAGCAGCCTTCTGCAAACTGGTACCTCCCAATGTGTTGCATTGCAATTGTACAGCTGAGTAATAGGGGAAAACTAGTCTAATGTATCTGGATAGTACCAAGTTAGAGAAGTCTTGTACAGAGGATTCTATGTCTATACTATCTATCCATGTGGCCCTGGTCCCTGGTTTTTATATTGAAAGCTCCAATGTGATATCTGTATCCTACTGCACCACATAGGAGCCAAAACATACATGTAATGGTCCTATGGTGGAGCTTTGTCTAAATATATTTATTTGTATAACATTGGCCAGGAAAATCCTCTGAAAATACTGTGTGTGTGTGTGTGTGTGTTTTATGGCAAATATAATCAGTATGTACTTTTCATGTTCCTGCTAGAATAGCAAACATGTTATTTGCCCGGCAAGTTAGAATTACTATATGTTATAACAGTTTAGAATAACTAGTATTCCCCGCTCCCCTGCCAAGTAAGCGCTGCTGTTGAGGTGTGAGATTTTGAGTGTACAGAGTGTTAAAATAAAGGGACTGATTGTTATCTAATTATCTGATCCTCCTGGCTGGCTCGCCAGAAATGTCATTTTACTGGCATGGGTAAGGCTTTCAAAACTTAAGTCAAAAAGTCAAAAGTTGATTGCAACAAGCTTATTTAAAGGTACTTCTAGAAAAAAAGCACACTCATGTACTGCAGTGAGTCCTGGACACTTTGTGCACAGCAGGAGAGGAAGCTGAACACGTTCCATATACGTTGTCTCCAACACATTTTTGGTATCATTTGGCAGGACAAAGTTCCAAATAGAGTAGTCCCAGAACGAGCTGGAATTTTTAGCATGTATACATTACTGAAACAGCGACATCTACGTTGGCTTGGGCATGTGGTGAGAATGGCTGATGGTTGGATTCCAAAAGATCTCCTGTATGGAGAATTAGTGCAGGGAAATTACCCCAGAGGGAAACCACAGCTGCGATACAAGGATATCTGCAAGCAGGATCTGAAGCCTTAGGAATGGACCTCAACAGATTAGAAATCTTGATGTCTGAGTGTTCAGCCTGGAGGCAGGCGGTGCATCATGGCCTCTCCCAATTTGAAGAGACACTTATACAGCAGGCTGAGGCAGAGAGGCAGTCCTGAAACCAGCAAAACCAGGGAGCTGGACAGGGGACAGATTGGATTTGTCTTCAGTGTGGAAGGGATTGTCACTCTCGAATTGGCCTTCTCAGCCACACTAGATGCTGTTCCAAGACCTCCATATAGAGCACGTTACCATAGTCTCTCGAGACTGAAGGATGCCTACTACTAGAAAAAAAACTTGCTGAAAAAAAAGGACATCTCCATTTGTTTTGACATAAAATGTCCTGAAAGTTTTGGGCATTTACCTAGCTAGCTAAAATGTAGTGTTTATTACGTTTTAGTTAGGTAGATGTTATTAAATACGTGTGATTTGAGAATACTAATTCATTAAAAAAATTAAGAGTCTAAATGGAAGGATGATCAGGGGACTGGAAACCAAGCCCTATGATGGAAGATAACTGGGCATGGTTGTTGTGGGTTTTTCGGGCTTTTTGGCCGTGTTCTGAAGGTTGTTCTGTCCTCTGAAGATGCCGGCCACAGAGACTGGTGAAACGTTAGGAAGAACAACCTTCAGAACATGGCCAAAGAGCCCGAAAAACCCACAACTACCATTAGATCCCGGCCGTGAAAGCCTCCGAGAACTCGGCATGTTTTAGCCTTGAGAAAAGAAGACATGGGGGGGGGAGATGATAGCACTTTTCAAATACTTGAAAGGTAGTCAGTCATACAGAGGAGGGGCAGGATCTGTTCTTGATCATTGCAGGGTACAGGGCACATAATAATGAGCTCAAGCTACAGGAAGCCATATTTTGGCTGAATATCAGGAAAACATCTTAACTGTTAGAGCAGTATGACAGTGGAACCAGTGACCTTGGGAGGTGATGAGCATTCCAGGCATTGAAGAGAAAATTGGACAATTGTCTGTCAGATCTGCTTTGATTTGGATTCCTGCATTGAGCAGGAGGTTGGAGTTGATGGCTGCTTAGGCTCCTCCCAACTCAATTATACTATGATTCTGTGAAACTGATTAATACATCAAACTAGGAAGTTTACATTAAGGTTGTTTAAGTTTTCATTGTTCAGTGCACTGTTAAATTACCTAAGGCCTGGGGTGTTGAACCTTTACTTTCTGTATTTACCTAATTTTGGTTAAGCAGTGTTATATAACTGATAGTTATAGTGAAGAAGTCAAGATTATCATTTCCCCTCCCCATGCTCTTTTTAACATAAGCAGTCATTTACATTATTGAGTTTTGTGTAGAGTTGAATGATCCTACCATTTCCAACTTTTAACCAGTCTTAGATGTGAAACAGAATTTGGTCAGGATAAATTAACAGTTCTTAGAAACAAATTAATTTTGTTTCTTAGATAAATGGTTTACATAACAACTTCTGGTCCCTAGTCATAGATTACTACTGTCCATTTATGTCATGAAGAGATAAAATATGAAGCAAAATACTGCTTTTTCAGAGCATTTACTTTTAATTTTTCCTATCATAGAAATATTCAGAGATAACGAGGTAACATTTAAATCTTTTTATTTTGTTTCAACCAGCCTCTTGCACCTAGAAGTCCTACAAGCAGTGTGGCAACACCATCCAGTACTATCAGCACACCTACAAAAAGAGACAGTTCAGCACTTCAGGACCTCTACATACCTCCTCCTCCAGCAGAGCCTTATATTCCCAGGTAAAATGTTGGAATTGACCTTACTGTTAATTTGCTGTCGGTGTCAATTCCCATGTGTTCCATTCCTAGGAGGAAGAAAAATGTTGTGAACCTGTATTACCAAATTGTGGTGATGTAAAAGAAAAAATATCTCTGTAATTTGTTGATCATCCAAAATTCGCAAACCACATGGAACTCGGCCTTAAATACAGGAGATTCTTCAAATATGTATGAGTCATATTAACAATACATAGAAAGAAAATGACTTGGAGTCACACACAACATCAGTCTCATGTGCTTTTGCCTTTTCTGATTTTGCAAATGTATGAAGAAAAAAGAGTTTCAGAACAGTATGGTTCTGGGGCCTGTTCCCAGTCTGGAATGAGCGTCAGATAAACCATGAACTTCCCAGTCTCTGAAAGAAGAATCACAAATATTCTCCTACATATAGCCATAGAACTGTGAGTGACATGAATTTTCTGTAAGAGGAAGAGGTGCAGTTTAATATCAGCTATCAAGTAAGGGGGTAAAGATAATTGTTGCACTATCCTCCATGTGAAAGTTTATCTTGGTCTGTGTGGATGCTGAAGTGGCAGAAGCAGATGGGGAAGAAACAAAAAGCTAGTAATGTGAAAAATCTCACCTCATTTCTCAGATTCCAGGATGCTGCAAGGGAAATTCTGCTAGACTTCAAAGATTTATAGTCATCATTATAAAAAGTTTGGAGGTATATAGCCCACAGTTGAAGTGACATCCTTAGGATTTGTTGATAACCAGCAATATGGAGAGTTGCTTAAAGGAGAAAGTGTTGACTTGGAAAGCAGAAATAAAAACAGATCGGTGACTCAGAGTGAAAGCAGTGAAATGGAAAAAGAAGTTTGATTACTGTGGAGATTAATAATATAATGGAGAAGAATGCAATGGAGCTGAAATCAGAACTTTAAAAAAAGCTTTGAAGAAATAAAACAGAAATGCATGAGACTATAAAGTGAAGATATATAAAACAATATTTTTAGATCTATAGTAATCTTGAGATACATCATATGTTATTGTAAAAAAGGAGGACCAACATTTCAGGAGGGAAATTCAATGTGAACTTTGGGAGAATAAGATTCAAATGAGGAAATAAAGAGGAAAAATTAAGAATGAAATAGATATTAATATTCAAAGCTCTATTAAGTATTTTGGTATAAATATTCAAGTTAAATCAGAAAGATTGAAAGAGGATAATTTTAAAGTATTAAAATGAGATATATAAAAAAGAAATTTTAATGATTGAAGGAAAATTGAACTTCCATGTTTTGGCAGAATCACTATGCAAAAGGAAGAGGTTACTTAAGGTAAACTTTCTATTTATGATGTTATCAATAAAGATAAGTGAAGAAGTGTTAAAGAACTGGCAAAATTAATAAGCTTTTTAATGGAGATAAAAAGTCAAGTACAGTGGTGCCTTGAGTTGCAAACTTAATTCATTCTGGGATGATGGTTGTAACTCAAAGCACCATTTCCCATAGGAATACATTGAAACACAATTAATCTGTTCTGGCCATTTTAAAAGGTTAAAAAAAGGACAGGAAAAGAGGGAGGGAGGGAACAATGGGGAAAAGAGGAAAGAAAGAAGGTCATCACTGGGGTACACAGACCCCTCAGACAAAGGTTTGTGCTTTTAGGCACAAAGAGAGAGGATAGAGAGAGAGGAGACAATGGGGGGAGAGTTTGGAGTCTAAAACAAAAACAAAAAAACAAAACACCATTCCTGCAGGGACTAAAAACAGGGACTAATGCAAAAGCGGTTAATCCTACTAGGGGGAGACTTTATTTTAAAACCTAAGATGACCTCTAAGGTTAAAAAGGGGAGCAGGAAAGTAGGGAGGGACCATGGGGAAAATATGCCTTTTTTCTGATTGTATCTCAAAGTGCCAGTCGCAAGTCAAAGCAAAACATTGCGACCGGAGCTGGTTGTAACACGAATTGCTTACAGGTCAAGATGATTGTAAGTCGAGGCACCACTGTATTCATAAGAAGATATGATAATAAATCTCAAATTAGGACTTCCTAATTTATGATTATACTGTGTAGCCAGTCAGTTAAGACATATGCTAGATATTATAGTTCAGTCTAATAATCTAATTTGTCTGAATATGAAAACACAAGAATTACATCTGAACCCTCTAGATATTATTTTTGTACACAGTAATAAAAATATAGTAAAAATATGGAAAATTTGAAAATATGCTTTTTTTCTTCATTACCTCTAGTGGTAGAATTAAAGAAATTCCCAGAAAATTTGAAAGGATGCTTTGAAAATTTATTAAGAAATAGACAAGTTGACGTAGGGAAACTTGGAATATAGCTATTAATGATAAGCTACCATGTAATATCAAAGTTAAGAAAGGATACAAAATAAGTATGAGTTCCCAAACATATGAGGAGAATTTATCAGTTTCGTACTAATAAAGGGGAAGAAACAAGCCCCCTTGCAAGAGTCATTACAATTTTGGGAGGGGAATGGGGGGCTCCATGGAAGAAATTGGTTGCAACTTTCATTTGTTCCTGGTGGGGCGGGGGGAGGAAGCACTGTGTTTAGTAGAGATTTGTTAATTGCTTATGGAAATTCCATTTTTGGCCCCTTGGTTCTGTAGTAGGCAGTTGAGTTAGTTTCTGCAGGTTTGTTTTTCCCTGTGTCCAGAAGTCAAATCCCATATTATTTACCTGCAGTTTTCAATCTGAAGTTATTGGCATCTAATAATTTCATGGTCATTCCATTATATGCTTGCAGATTCATAACTACATCTGAGATAATGGGAGTCATGAAAACAAAATGCCTACACACAAAGCATAGGCGTCATATGTATAAGAATAATGAAAGTACAGTACTGTATATGGAACTGGTGCTTGCCATTCTTCTTAGAAGATCAGAAACTGTTGGTTTCATAGTAGCTCACTGATGCAATAACTGTAGATCGCAGTTCTGATTCATCTGAAGTTACATTGCATGCCTTCAGAATGTTTTTTTTGCTAGCTACACTGAGAGAAGAATTCTATTTGATGCTGAAGCCATGGGAATTGGTTCTGTAATATCCTTTCTCCAAGTCAGCTGAAGCATAACATATATCCAGGTATAACATCAGTCTAAATGAATGGCCTTTCAATAGGCCATCAGTTTTTAGAAATGTCATCTTTTAATCAAACATGAGTGTCTGAGGAAGTAATTTTTGGTAGCAAAATATATTTGGTAGGAGTTAAAACCAGAACTGAATGCTCGTCTGTCGCGCAAACCAGATTGTTCTATGTGAGTCAGTGGAAAGAAGTCAAGAATTACATGGTAGTAGGTCTTAGGCTACTTAGTATTAAAATTCATCAAAACATTTTTTTCCTCAAAGGGATGAAAAGGGGAATCTTCCATGTGATGATCTTGGAAGACACCTAGCAGGAAAGCCAGTACATAAGGGTTCGGAATCTCCTAATTCATTCCTTGACCAAGAATACAGAAAGCGTTTTAATGTAGTGGAAGAAGATGCTGTCTTGTACTGTTATGAATATGAGAAAGGAAGAACAAGTAGCTCTGGACGAAGGGAGAGCACCCCAACCTATGGTATGTTATGCATTTGTTAAAATTTAAAAAAAAACCACTCACACACATACACCAGTCCTGCATTAGCATCAGCTCAGATGTATCTGTTCCAGCCTTCCAGATTTTAATGATTTGCCTTATATCTGTTAATGAATGTGATGTTAAATGAAGTAGTAATATTGTTGTTTTATTTTCTTTTAATACCATTGTTAGCTGCTCAGAGTTGACTTAGGTCTAAATGGGTGGGATGATGATGATGATGTTGATGATGTTGATGATGTTGATGATGATGATGATGATGATGATGATGATACTACTACTACTACTACTACTACTACTAATAATAATAATAATACTAATAATACTACTACTAATACTACTAATACTACTAATAATAATAATAATAATAGGTACACATCTCTGTGGCCCTTTTTACTTAAACTAAAAAGAACTCTGGTCACCATCTGAGGTGTATTTTCTTGAAATATAAGTTGCTTTCCTGCCTTTCACTCCCATTCTGAATGTTCAGCCATGATTTTCCTGAGTTGTTTTTGTTATTCAACTCAGCTTTATTTTCTTATAGTGTAGATTTGTTAATTCTATTTTGGCTCTCTGGAGGAGATAAAGTAAGTGCGCAGAACAACAAGCGAAGGAAGGAAGGAATTAGTGTTTTGTGGGGTTTTGGATGGCTGCAAATCTTACTGGGATGTCTCAGGAGGAAAATCTCTGCATGTCAAGACTTGGAAAATGGTCAACCGCAAGATATTTTTAAAGTTCTCATCATTCTCAGATTGTTGACCAACCCTGTCTTTTAATCTGATGCTACATAATAATTTTGCCAGGGCAAGGAATTTACTTCTGTATATTAAATGTATGTATAGAATACAGTGGTGCCTCGCTTAACGAGTGCACCGTTTAATGACGAATCCGCATAGCGACGCGTTTTTTGCGATTACTAATGTGATTGCATTGCAATGTTTAGATAGGCTAAACATCGCATTGTGATGATCGGTAAGCGTTTCGCTTACCGATCTTCGCATTGCGATGTCTAGAAAACAGCTGATCGGCGGTTGCAAAATGGCCACCGGGTGCAGAAAATGGCCGCCCGCAGCATTTTCGCTCCCTGCCCTCGCTTACAGGGCAGCGAAAATGGCAGCCAGATGGGGGAATCTTCGCTTACCTGTGAGTTTTTCCATAATAGGAACGCATTAAATGGAGTTTAATGGGTTCCCCCCCGCATAGCGATGAATCCGGATAGCGATGTTAATCCTGGAACGGATTAACATCGCTATGCGGGGCACCACTGTACATGTAATCTACAGGAGAGTAAATGTAATGTTAAATTCTTGCCACAAGGTGCCCTTGTCCTGGTTAGGGAAAACATTTGGAATCCATGGGATGGCTATTGTACTAGTCCCTATGATTATACAGTGGCGCCTCAATTTACGACCATAATCCATTCCAGAAGATGGGCGTAAGTCGAAATGGTCATAAGTCGAAGCATGCATTCTTATAGGAATGCATGGGAACACAATTAATCCATTCCGCCCCCCCCAAAAAAGAATTACTAATAAAATAAAATAAAAATAAAACACTGCAAGCTCCATAGGAATGCGCTGGGGCTGCAAACAACAGCAACAACCACCCAAAAATAGACAGAGCAAGCCCCATGCTGGGATTGCAAAAAAACAAAAACAAAAACAAAAACAAACAACACCGCTCAGAAACATAACCCCCCAGCCCAAAACCACCCTGCAAAACCCACCCAGAACAGTTTTTATAAAGCAAAAAGCAGCACCTTACCTTACCAGGCAGTCCCAAGCCTCCTCTGATAGCACTCACTCTAACTGAGCTGCCTGAGCTATGGCAGATGGCGGCCAATGATAGGTGGCCCGGGCCAGGCTCAGCTTCCCGGTGCCAGGACATTGCCACCACCACCCCATGCCCCATCCAGTAGGAGCCCATCGGACGGCAGCAGCGCTCACCTGGCTGCATGGCTTCCTTCAGCACCGCCTCCTGGAGCTGGGATTGGGGCCCCCTCCACCCCCACACTGAGGAGGGTGGTGAGGAGTGCCAAGGCCTGATGCGGCTGCCCCGGCAAGCAGCTGCCAGAGCTGGTGCCGGATCAGGAGGTGGCTTTGGGCACCATTGGCGGGTGAGCCACCTGCTGCTCAGGAGCCACCCGCCGGCACAGAAGGGGAGTCGCCCCTGCGGGGCCAAGGGCTGAGCGCGGCCCCGCCAGGAAGGAGGAGGCAGCGGAGCAGGAGGACCCTTCCTCTGGGAGCTGGGATCAGGGGGCCCTCCACCCCCACGCTGAGGCCCGGGACCCAGCAGCGGCAGTATTGGCCCCGCGGAGGGCAGCGAGGAGTGCCTCCCCCCACTGCTGCATCCCTTTCCCTAGCCGTTGGGGTGAAAGAGCTACAAAGAAGTAACCTCTTTGCCACCAACGGTTTGAATTTCCCGCCTTTTTCCCCTGCCTTTTTTGGTTGTTACTCGAAGCTCCGGCCGCAAGTTGAAGCAAAATTTTACGGCCGGAGGTGGGTGAGCCACCTGCTGCTCAGGAGCCACCCGCCGGCACAGAAGGGGAGTCGCCCCTGCGGGGCCAAGGGCTGAGCGCGGCCCCGCCAGGAAGGAGGAGGCAGCGGAGCAGGAGGACCCTTCCTCTGGGAGCTGGGATCAGGGGGCCCTCCACCCCCACGCTGAGGCCCGGGACCCAGCAGCGGCAGTATTGGCCCCGCGGAGGGCAGCGAGGAGTGCCTCCCCCCACTGCTGCATCCCTTTCCCTAGCCGTTGGGGCGAAAGAGCTACAAAGAAGTAACCTCTTTGCCACCAACGGTTTGAATTTCCCGCCTTTTTCCCCTGCCTTTTTTGGTTGTTACTTGAAGCTCCGGCCGCAAGTTGAAGCAAAATTTTACGGCCGGAGCTGGTCGTTACTCAAAATGGTTGTAAGTGGGGACGTACGTGGTGCCTCACTAGACAGTTACCCCGCATGACAGTTTTTCCGCTAGACATTGACTTTTTGCGATCGCTATAGTGGTTCACAAAACAGTGATTCCTATGGGGGAATTTCACTGGACAATGTTTGGTCCCTGCTTCGCAAACCAATTTTCGCTAGACGATGATTTTGACAGTTCGCTCCGTGCTCGCAAAACAGGTGTTTTCGGGACCTAAGCTTCGCAAGACAGCGATTTAAACAGCTGATCGGCGGTTCGCAAAGCGGCTTTCCTATGACCGATCTTTGCTCAACAACGACGATTCTTCCCTATTGAAACGAATTAAACAGGTTTCAGTCTATTCCAATGGGGAAATGCTTTTCACTAGACAATGATTTCGCTAAACAGCGATTTCAGTGGAACTGATTATATCGTCTAGAGGCACCACTGTATACATGTGACAATATTTAACATTTAAGTTTATTTCAAAGTGTTAAATATCTTTGATTGGACTAATGAGATTATTTAGAAGAACCGACATAGTACTTTTGGAGAGCGTGTTTTAGTTAATTTATAAGCATATAAGGAGAAAAAATGCCAAATCCTCACATCATTCACTAATTGTCAACAGAATGTCACAAGGCCACCCAGGATAAAGTGATTTTATATGTCACTTCCTGGGAAAATGTGTAGGCATGTGAAACTAACTCTTCAACCTTTTCACAGGTGTTTTAGAATTAAACAATGTGGTTTATTTTATTGCAGGTAAACTAAGACCTATATCAATGCCAGTAGAATATAACTGGGTAGGGGATTATGAAGATCCCAGCAAGACAAAAAGAGATACTAGGAGAGGTAAGTGACTTTAAACAGAAATTTCATTGTGATTTGATAGATTTTCTATAGAAAACATGAAATGCATGTTTTCATTAATTATTGCTCAACATTATCCATAAAACATGGTTCTAAAAACCAGATCATTTTGTTAATAATGATGCTTTCAAGGATTAATTGCCCAATTTGGAATTTAAAAACTATTGGTCAGTTTTTCTCAATATTATATGACGAAGCATAATATTATTGCAATTTGATATCCAGATTTCATCAACAAGGTTGTTATGGAAACTCCACTGTAACTTTTTCTTTTGTTTCACATGCTTGAAAAAATTCTGTATGCATTCCTCTCTTATTGCTTCTGACAATGAAATGCTGTAGTTAAATCTACATCAGTTGTTCCTTAAATTTGTCCTAGTATTTTAAATAATTTAGATATATGGGTAGCCTCTCTGTGTGGGAATGTGTGAAGTTTTCTCTGTAACAGTGTTAAAATTTTACAGTTAACAGCAGTTATGCTATTAGCCGTAAGATTTCTCCAAATTTCCAGTTTCAAGGTTCTGACTTTGCTGACCTTCAGAGGTCATGTGAATGTGTCATTTACGTAAAAATTATGTGATGTTTAAGTTATACTACAATGGAGATGGCAAAATGTGGTCCATCAGCTGTGTCTGGCTTCCAAGGGCATTTTTATGGTTCTACCTCCCAAGCCCAAAAGACAAAATGAAAAAAAAGGCCCCCCCAAAAAACAACTCTAGGAATTGTGGGCTTTGGGGATGTCCCTTAAAACTGTCCCCTCTGATAGCAAAGAAACTAGAAGTGTTCATCTGGAAATGTCCTGATTAATTTTTTTAATGACAATTTTCTCAGCCCAATTCTGGGCCTGGCATGACCCTTGATAGGGGCTGGGGCTTGGTTTGGCCCTCAAACCCTCAGATCCTGCCCATCCCTGTGCTGAAATTTGTATAATCAAAAGATGTGCCTGATTAAGCCTGAATCAGGCAAATGTGTTGGGCAACAGAGACCTTTTTTTCAAGGTGTATCCCATGTCTTTAATCAAATGCATCATATTTCTTTATCCATCCTGTATATTTAAATCTTTGTCTTCATGTAAATGACTCAAACACTCGACACATGGAAATGCTCCATATATATTAAAGGCAAATTTAAGTGTGGTGGTTTTTTTTAACAAAACAATTACATGATATGCCATGGTGACAACCTGTTGCTATAAAGGGGACAAAAATCCCCAAAACATGATATCCGCCTTAGGAATTGATAACATTTCCTTCCTAGCTCCCATCAACTCGCAGATAAATGACATACTGTATTCAGTAAACAGAGAAGCAGCAGTGGGTAAGATAATAGAGACGAAGATAGGACAGATCCAGGGGCCTATTTGTTGAGGTTTCAATAAATAAGTAGAGAATGGACCAAACTTTGCTTTCAACTCCACCTTCTTTGAGACTGCCCCCTGGTCTATCCAGAGCTATCTCCTGGTCCCCGCATCACTTTGTGTTAACCAATTTGGGTGCTGCCTATCACGTAGATAGGTAAAAGTTCTGTCATATGGCAGAAAAAAGTTACCTATGCAATGGATCCTTAATGTTTTTGTAAAGATTTTTTTAAAAGCAACAACAGAAAGGTGACAGATGAAGAAGAACAAGGACATATAAATATGTTGTTATTCTAGCAAAGGCTCCAGAGTGCTTAATAGAGAGTTTCAGCCGGCACCAAAAACTGGAGAGAAATGTTGAGTACTAAACAGAACATAATTTTCAGAACATGATGCGCCCATGATACAAGTTCACAGCACCTGAGTCCTGGTAAAGTAATATAGAATAATTTGTGCTAAAATTCAAAACAAGTCAGTACACTAGTATTAACTGGGTTACATGACACTGAAGTACAGAATTTTCAGATAGATCTCAGTATTTTTGTGCTTCATTGAAGACAAGAGGCAAGTTTGAAGAAGTCTAATAAGTGGTGGTGTATTGATTTCAGTCTGATTTGCATTCAACACCTGGTTATTTAAGAATGGATTTGAAATGTAACCTTTGTTATTTTTATCTAGAGAATTCATTACTTCGATATATGAGCAATGAGAAAATAGCTCAAGAAGATTACATGTTTCAAAGAAATAGCAAAAAGGACACAGGCAAAAAATCCAAAAAGAAGGGCGATAAAGGCAACAGTCCTAGTCATTACTCTCTACTACCTAGTTTACAAATGGACTCATTAAGGCAAGATAGCATGAGCACACCTGGGCCAGAAACATCCATGTATCATGTAAGTGGAATCACAAAATTCTTATTTTTGTGTGAATCGTTTCTTTGAATGACTGGAATATGAGTATTACTTGCTTCTTAAACATTTTGTTTTCCTGTTTCTTTGATTTTTCTTACAAAAAGTAGAACAATATTTCCCCAAGTTTATTATTGGAAACTATTGTTATGACAATGAAACAAGTAGATATGATGGATCAGTTTTTGTAATGTTGATATTGATTATTTTAAACAGAGGTATCAACACTTTTAATGCATGTTCTTTTTAGAAACTTGGTTACTTTAAACAGATTTTTTAAAGGTAAGCATTGAAAGGGACTTCCAAAGAAGAACTGTTAATCTGTAATGAATATGTTGGAAAAAATGGAGAGAAGTGCAAAATATTGTTATCTTTTAAAGACTAACAGATTTTAGAGTGAGTTTTAATGGATGAAAATCTACTTCAGACACAAGGAGTGCAAATATAGGAGACACATATTTGCTCTCCCTGCGAATTTCTCACTGAGGCAGAAATTGTTGATCCATGAAAGCTCACACTGAAACAAATATATTGAAATGTTGCGATATTTTGCCCTTTTTTGCCCCAGCCTTTATTGAAAGTGAGTGTTGATTTCTGTGGAAGCAATGGCCAAAATCCTGTTGCTTAGCATAGTAAATCACAGTAAAGTAGGCCCCTTTGAATCAGTGAGGATTTGCAAGTTCCTTTGTTCAAATGGGCCTACTCTAAATGTGAATTAATTTAGCATAGTAAATTGTAGTTAAGAGTGAATAAATGTAACTTCTGGAGGAACTGAACCAACTAAATTCCCATTTATTCAATATGCCTACTTTAGTGCTATTTACTATGCTAAGCAACAAGATTTTGGCCAATAAGCTGTTAATCAGAGCACATTCGCAATGGCTCCAATAAAACCTGGTCAGACATGTTCAGTTTGATTTTGGAAAACAGTTTATTTTCATTCAAATCAATCAATTTTAATAGGTACAGTACTAGATGGTCAGAAAATGTAATCACACATTCTGTACTGAAAATGCCAATGAAAGTGTGTGGCTGTTTTTAAAAAGTAGACCAGTAAACATTTTCATAATGAGGGAATGTTAATACGTTTTGCAGTGCTACAATTCAACTGTCTTATTTTTTTCTAATGATCTGGCAAAGGGGTTATAAACATTTGCAAGAGTTGGTGTTTCGGGCTAGGCACTCCAGTTTCTCTTGTCTCAACGCATTGTGAAGGTAAATAGCTCTCAGTTGAGTTCCAGCTGGATGGAAATCAATGACCTACTTTTACTTTAGCAAACTCATTTTGTTCTCTGATAGTGCCTGGCTAATGGTAAGGATTTAATAAATGTTGCAAAAGCACAGTGTGGCTACATGTTATATGATAGCATCTCTAGAAGCTGTAGGTAGTGTTTTCTTTTATTCTAGCAGCATGTTAGTTCATATACAATTGTGGGGGAATGTCACACTTCTCACTGAATAAATTCAATATCACATTTTTGTTAAATACAAAAGAAGTGCATAATCTGATACCATAGTTGTCCAAGACGAATGAACAAACAACTGCACTTCATTCTGTGAATGCCTTATCAATTATATTCCTTTTAGGCAAGGGTTTTAAGTTTGCATATGGATGTGATGTCGCCTTTTATGGGTTTGGGTACATTTTGTACAACAAGAAAACAATCACTTCATAAACAAGTTATATTAGTACTGTTGTAAAATAAATAGAAAATGCCACCTACTCAGATTCTAAAGTTTTATTAACAACATTTTGCTGTTGCAAAATAGCATGAAAGAACAGTTTTGGTATTAACAATATTCACTGCACTGATACTCAAAAGCTTAGTTAAACAAAAAATATTTGATCCCATTTCATATTCTGGTTTCTGTTCAGCAACTAAGAACTGTTGAATAGCTCAATGGTTTAAGTCTCTCTCTGTGGAGCCAGGAGTTTGATGTTTGATTCCCACTGGGCCTCCTTAACAAGGGCTGGACGTAATGACCCATTGGGACCTTCCCAGCTCTGTAGTTTTAAGATGATTACAGTGGTGCCTCGCTTAGCGATGTTAATCCCTGCAGCAAAAATCGCTGCTAAGTGATATTAAAAATCCCATAGAAACGCATTAAAACGCCATTAACGTGTTCCTATGGGGTTAATAAACTAACCTTAAGTGAAAATCCTCCATAGGGGCGGCCATTTTCGGTGCCTCTAAAGCGAGGCAACACAGCGGGTGACCATTTTGTTTACCCGGTGGCCATTTTGGAAGCGCCGATCAGCTGGCCGAAAATGGGGGCTTTGCGATGATCGCTTCCCTGCAATCATCGCAAAGTGAATTTTCCCCATAGGGACCATCGCTAAGCAATCGCAAAAGCAATCGCAAAAACATCATCGCAAAGCGATTTCTTTGTTAAACGGAGCAATCGCTATGCGAGGCACCACTGTATTTGCTTGTTTGTTTAAAATATTTTAGCTTGCCTTTCTCCTAAAAAAGGTCGCAAGGCAGCTTCCGTCATTAAAATACAATATTAAAAGCTAAAAACAGTAAATTATTCAAATATTAAAAAGAATTAATAATATTATATTTAAAATGTCAGGTTAAAGCATTATGGAAACAGATTTAGAAGCAACAAAATCCAAACTATCCCATTTTAAAACCTAGTCAGCCAGTGAGTAAGGAAAAGGTTGTCTGAAAAGAAAGGTCTTTGCCTGATTGTGGAAGGACAGTAAAAGATGGGGCCAGCCAGGTCTCCTGTGGGAGGGAGTTCTAGATTCTGGAAGCAGCAACAGAGAAGGCCCTCTCTCGTGTCCCCACCAAGTGCACCTGTGAGGTTGCTGAGACTGAGAGAAAGGCCTCTCGTGCTGATCTTAACATCCAAACCCAAACAGGTTCATAAAGGGAGATACATTTTTTACACCCAAGCTGTTTAGGGCTTTATAGGTTAAAACCAGCCCTTTGAATTGTGCCAGGAAATAGATTGGCAGTCAGTGGAGCTACTGTAACAGGACAGTTATGTGGTCTTTGTAACCAGACCCTGTTAACAATCTGGCTTCAGCATTTTGGACCCACTGAAGTTTTCAAGCACGTTCCAAAGGCAGCCCCATGTAGCATTTCCTGGTGCACTAGTTTTAACTATGCAAAGGTGTCCCTGGCCACTGCTGAAATCTGGGCACCAGGGTGAGATACAAATCCATAGTACTTTTAGGTAAGTTAACCATAGGCATCTTCTGATGAAATATGCTCTCAGGGGCCAAAATCACCTTGATGTACCTTTTGAAGACAAATGCCCAAATTTAAGAAACCAACATAGGCATTATTGCCCCAAGTTATGCAACTCAGTATGCAACTGATAATGTCTACAATGATTTCTTGAGATAATTCACCTCCAAATGTTATGCTATTTCTGCAGTACTAGCATAACTACAGTAAGTAAGAAGCTTTTGACCAGGAAGATTTATGCTACTATAAACTTGTTTATCTTTCCACAGTTCTAACAGGACATTCTTTTTATTTCCTGTTTATGTTTTCCTTTGCTTATCCTAATGATCATCAAACTTAGAGTGCCTGGCATGAACTTTCATTTAATTTTGTTAATGGATATCCAGTTTAGAATGGTCAGGATGGTACTCTCTGACTTTCACACAGTTGCTTCTGCTTTTCAGCTAGAGAATAAAGGAAAATGTATATAAAGAAAATCATTGTATTATACTACACTTTTGAAAAGAATTGACTGAGAGGACTGGTGATGATACTTTGAAGTTGCCGTCTCTATGTGTAGCACTAGGCACATGGGAAATATTCTGTTTCGTAATTGGTCCAGAAATGCCTCATTAAGTTGTTGATGAAGTATTAGTGCTCATCAGCCCATGAAGTGAAAGCATCCATTAGAACAATGAATACAAATAGGTCAAAAGAACTATTGTGTTATCACAAAGCAACATGATTCCTGTATTCATTAAACATGTTTTTGTGTAATTATCACTTTGAACAAACCAGTAAATGTGAACACTTAAAAATACAACTGAACAGATTTGTTGTAGGTGTTTGGGTTCTTAAATCTTGCTATCATTATATTGCAGCATGTGGTACTTGACACGTTTTTTAGTTTTTTGAAGTCCAAGTAGAGATGTCAGCCAAATGACCAGCTATCTTTCCACCCTTCCTTTTCAGTTTAAATGCAATCCTTTTGTAATTCCCTTGTCTTGTTATGCACTCTTTACCTAAAGACATGAGTTGCTATGGAGATATGTTCACATAGAAAAATGCTACAAAATGTTTTACAGTATCAGTCAGAACTGTTATTTTCTGTGCCAGTTATGCTTTCCAAGCTCCTGTAAAGCTATAGTTTCTGCAAATAACATCATCTGGTAGTGTTCTCAACCTACTCAGGGAAATCAAAGGTGGGAATGCCTTTTCCCAAACAGTTTTCACCCAGAAAACTGAAGACAGCACCTAGCTAATAAACTGCTATGTTATGAGGTAAAGGTAAAGGTTCCCCTTGACATTTAGTACAGTTGTGTCTGACTCTAAGGAGTGGTGCTCATCCCCGTTCTCAAACCGTAGAGCCAGCGTTTCTCCAAAGACAGTTTCCGTGGTCACTTGGCCAGCGTGACTAGACACGGAACGCCATTATGTTATGAAGGGTGATTCAAATCCTGTGTATTGTTTTTCACCCGAATAATCTCCAAACTGTTAAGGAGAATCTCCTGTTGTCATGTAGGAATTGTTGCACTTGGGCAGTAAGTCCAAAGAAAAAAATAGTCATATATATTCAGGTCTCTCAAGTATTCTGCCCTCCTATAGATTATAATCTGAAAGGGAAATAGGCACATCAACCATATATGACTAGAGGAGGGAGATAAAATTGGGCCTATAGGAAGCGACACAAGATGCACCTTGCATCTAAATGGTTAGAGTGGTATTCATTGCATCTAAACAAATAGGGGATGCAAATCTTTGGGTTTAGAATGCCTGTGCCTGCATTCCCTATCTTTTCGAGTTCCCCAAAGTGTTATTTAGTTTATCTAGATCAGTGCTTGGGAAATACTGATAAAATAAAAACATAATACAGTAGTACCTCGACTTACGAACTTAATCTGTTTTGGAACGACGTTCACACATCGAAAAGTTCATAAGTCGAAGTACCATTTCCCATTGAAATGCATGGGAACGGAATTAATCCATTCCAGCATTTCAAAAGGCAAAAAGGCAGCCTTTCTCCCTGGGGGTCCCTGCAGCCGCAATAGGCACCTTCGGAGCTCTCAAAGGGTTTTCCCCAGACATTGGAGGAAACTCTTTGAGAGCTCCGAAGCCAAAAAGGAAGGGAGAAAGGGTGGGAAATTAAAATTTCCAGCTCTTTCTCCCTGTCTTTTTGCAGGGAGCCATTTACGAACGGCTCCTTTGGCAAAAAATGGCATTGACTTGCGAACGGAGCCTTGACCTTGTTCGTAGGTCGAGGCTCCGTTTGCAAGTCGATGCCAATTTTTGCCAAAGGAGCCATTCGTAAATCGAAAAGTTCGTGTGTAGGGATGTTCTTAAGTCAAGGGTTGACTGTATTGGCAGGCTTTCTTACCATTCACCACAATATTATGATGATACCAACTGATGGAACTGAAAATATTACATGGAACTGCCTTTTCACATAAGACAATCGCAATACAGTGGTGCCTTGCATAGCGAGGTTATTCCGTTCTGGATTAACCTTCGCTATAGCGAAACATCGCTGAATGGGACAGGGAAAGCCATTGGAACGCATTAAACATCGTTTAATGCGTTCCAAAAGGCTCCTTTACTCACCGTTCAGCGAAGTTTCCTATGGCCGGCAGCCATTTTCGCGCCCTCGTTAAGCGAGGGGAGGGCGCGAAGACGCTGCGCACGGCCATTTTGGGGCTTCCGGCAGCCATTTTGTCCGCCAAACAGCTGATCGTCGGACCTTCGTTTTGCGAAGATCGGTAAGCGAAACGCTTACCGATCTTCGCAAAGCGAATTTCGCCCTACTTAAAGCTCGTTGAGCGATCGCATTAGCGATCCCAAAAAAGGGATCGCTATGCGATTTCGTCGTTATACGGTGCGCTCGTTAAGCGGGGCACCACTGTACTGTGAGCATGATCCAAGCCTGAGAATTTCATGGATCTGGCTTTCCAACTGTATGAATCTTCATAACAAAATCTATTAATGAGCCTCCTCTAACAAGGAAAGCAAATATAGGATAGATCCTGTGAATCAAGATAATGATACGCCTTTCATTCCCCTCCTCAGTGTTTACTTACTCCCTTTTTTGCCACTCCCATCATTCAGCAGGCCAAATTCATACCCATTGTGATATTCCTTTGGTTCTGACCTCTGCCCTTGCATTGCCATAGCATTCCTATAAGGAGTCCTTAACCTTTGATTTTGTGTTAGTGTGCAAAACGTTATTGTACAACCATGGTCAAGACAGAACAGTTTTTTCACGTTTTCCGATAGCCTTGTTTAGTATTAATACTGTAGTCTTGTTTCCAAACCCTGCACCTCCTCTCTTGTGGGGGATTTAGTCTGAAGCCAGGATAACAGTTGGACCAAACCGAACGGTATCAGTCTTATGATGGAGGATTTGTAGTATTGTTATTGGGAATCTCATTCAGAGGAAAACCAACTTGGAGGCAACATACTTTTTAGTAACTAGTGGAGTCTTTTCTTCAGTCCTTTACTTCCCAGATACTTACATGGCTGGCAAAAAGTGCCATTTTAATCTTTAAAAGATGGGTCATTTAAGAGTGCTTCTAGTTGGCCTGTGTCTATCGAGTTTTTGACCATTTTGGTATATGAACTATAGCGGTGAGTTTGGCATACATTAATGAAATATGGTGTCTTTTTCTTTCTAGACTTTTCAGCAGTCTTCTCTACAGCACAAGTCTAAGAAGAAGAATAAAGGTAAAATGGTTTATTTCAGGTCTTGTGGCATATCAAATATATTATTGTTCTGCGCATATATTTTTTGCTGGCTTATGTTTTAAAAGTGGCAAAGTGTAGCTTCTAAGTTTTATCAGTTTAACTCTTCAACAGTGCTTTTCTTCCTATTTCCTCTATGCTCTATCCTATCTCAACTAGGAAGTCTTCTGTTAGCATTGTAGTGCCTTAATCAGATCTTCACTGTACATGGTATCAGACTAGTAAACTAGGCTAAAACCATAGCTACTCATCAGTGAAGTAGGGGCAACCTTCCATCCCAAAGAGATCTGGATTAAATAGTGGATACCAGTTCAGGGCGAAAGTGTTATGTGGTTAACAAATCCTTTCTAAAACAAGTCTTATTTTCAGGTCTTGCACCAAGTAAGAGTAAAAGGCGAATTTCTTGCAAAGATCTTGGTCGTGGAGATTGTGAAGGGTGGCTCTGGAAAAAGAAAGATGCCAAGAGTTATTTCTCACAAAAATGGAAAAAGTATTGGTTTGTTCTGAAGGATACATCTCTTTATTGGTATATCAATGAGGAGGTAAGACATTGACATGTCTGTTTCTCTTTTTGTGGAATATTACTTTGACCACACCAAAAGTGTGATACATACATTGCAGAGAACGGAACTGTCAAATACTGCAGCAGGAAGAAAGTAAATACAACTCTAACCATATACAGTGGGGTCTCGACTTAAGAACTTAATCCGTATTGGAAGGCAGTTCTCAGGTCGAAAAGTTCTTAAGTCGAATCTGCATTTCTCATAGTAATGCATTGAAAACCATTTAATCCGTATCTGCTCTTTTCGTCCATAGAAACTAATGGGAAGTTGCTATTCCACCTTCTGCCACTAGAGGGGGATATTTTTTCTTTTTTCCTTTTAACCTAAGATGACTTAGCTTTAAAAAAAAGGAAAAAAAAGAGTTCGTAACTCGAATCTAAGTTCGTAAGTCGAGTCCATATATTCCTATGAGAGCGGTTCGTAAGTCGAAACGTTTGTATGTCGAGCCGTTCGTAAGTCGAGACCCCACTGTACACAACTCCAACCTATATGCGTATTTTGAACTCACTGTAAAATGTGGTGACATATTCTGCTTCCTTTCAGACCATGGGCTACTTATATTAAATTAATGTTTTGAGATGAAGCTGTATATGAGCGACTTGAGTCTTCCTCACATTAGGTCTTCCTCTTTTGTTCAGGAGGACAGTAGCCAGGATACACTAAACCACACCAGCCAGAATAATTGTGCTGAATGGCATTAGCACATCATATGCTTTCAGGAACTCCCCATTCTTAATGCTGATGATATGTTCCTACTTTCAGTAGCCTACTCATTGCATTGTTTCCTTCTCACAAAAGATTATGTAAATGTTAGGCATACACAAGGTCCAAAATCTGTTTTGTGTTATCTTATTCTTTGACTTTGTGTCAAAAAAAACCAAACCATTTGCATATTGCATTAGGAGAGGGAATCAAATTTTTTGGGTTTGCTGAAATTTAACCTAGCATAGGACCATGCATAGGATGTAGAAAAGATCCTGAGAAACAGAAGGGGTCCTATTATGAAACTGAAAAAACAGATAATGGATGAAGAAAGAGGAGTTTGATGGATGTATTGTGGAAAATGAATTTTGAGGGGGGAAAGGTCAAGACAGGGAGCTAAAAGAAGAGGCTGCTAACCAGAGAAGGGTTCTGAAGAAATTTCTTAATGCTTAATCTGAGCAAGGGGACAAAAGAGACTAGGTGGTTAAAGGCAATTGTATTTTTATGTCCCCAGTTACGAGAAATGTCTGAAAAGATACATGGTTGACTACAAGTTGTTACTGCAAAGAAAATGTCCATTTAAAAGCAATGTGTTCAGCTGTCTGGCAACATGATTTTTGTATGTTTGCTTGTTTTCTTTTTGGCTGATTTTTATGCTTTTATTTTTTAATCTGTTCGTCTTCATAGGATGAAAAAGCAGAAGGCTTCATTAGTCTCCCAGAATTTAAAATTGATCGAGCCAGTGAATGTCGTAAAAAGTAGTAAGTATTAGAAATAATAATTCGAAATATATGAACTGTAAAGCTTGGAACAACCTTTATTTTGTTAAAATAATATATTGGCCTTTCCATTGGTTATCTTTGTGGAATTCCACCACTGCTGCTAATAATTAATTGTTATGTAATGTCGTTTAGTGCCGTAGAGCCCTGGCATCTGGGAATAGGACAAAAGCATGTTTCTTGATTCCTGGTTTTTGATTCCTTGATTCCTGGTCTTGATTCCTGGTCTTAGAGTCCTGAATAATTTTTGTTCTTCCTGGGCTCTGTGAATTGCACGCATATGGGTTTGTTCCTGTGCCAGGCAGTATACAAAATGTTTCAGAGTTCTGTAGCTTTCATAGTTTCTTGCTTATGCTCAGATGCACCTTAAATTAGTTTTGCTCTTTTCCACTGCAGTTTCAACAGTTAAGAGAGTGTGCTCAGAGCATATCTAGCTCAAGTAATCTTGATACTTCTGTTTTTTTCTTCATTTTACTGTTTTCTTTGAAGAAGAAGAGGAGGAGGAGGAGTTACTGTCATTTTTCTTCTCCTTCCTACCTAATACTTATGTGGCCCTCTTCAAGAATGGTGTCATGTGGGGTAAAATTTTCTGCATAAATATTTCAAGTACCTGTTCTGCCTTGGAGAAAAACACCTTTCTGAGCCCTGCATTATTTGCAAAAGCTTTACAAAGATAGCCTCAAAAAAAGAAAAGAAAGGACAGAAGGAAGGAAGGAAGGAAGGAAGGAAGGACGGAAGGAAGGAAGGAAGGAAGGAAGGAAAGAAAGAAAGAAAGAAAGAAAGAAAATCACTTCTGAAGTTCTTCCTTTGGGAAAAAACTCTTCCAGCATCTGATAGCATACTAAAGCCAATTAAAACTGAAAACAGTGACAAAGGAGACTAACGTGTCCTCAACTCTGTCTGCTTTCCTTCACCAACAATATTTCCTCAGACATCTTCTTCGTTGACAGTTTCTTCAGCATCAGCTGTGTCACTATTGAATTTGTCATCCCTCTCAGTTCCAGCTTCAGCTACTTCACTGACTAAATGAAAGAATATGGTGCCTCCAAAGCAATCTAAACTGAAAAACATAAGAAAAAGAAGGCTTATTCTGTTCCCTCATGTATTTCAGTCATTGTGCAGGCTTCAGTATCTCAGCTGCTTTCTTCACCTTGACCATCACTGGCACAACAAATCTTAGCAGATGAGTTACTGCACCTTTGATCAGTGTCAAAGAGGGGGCAAGCTGCAAGACTCCACTCATCATTCACATGACAGTTCCTACCCCTCACAATTTGCAACTGCTTGACATCTTCATCATTATCAAGACCACACTGAAAGGCATAACCAAAGCCACTCAAGGTCATTCTGCCATCCAGATTCACTGTGTAGAAGAGACTAACCAAGATCAAGTACACTGAGGAGGAAATGGTGTTTGCGCTTGCACTCTCAAAACTACCAATATCATAGGGACTTCCCAGTCTCCCCCTCCACTACCAGTTGCTGCCCTATATTCACATGGAATATGAGTAGACATCCTCCTAGGCTAGGGCCTCTGAATATTTTCAAAGACCAAATAACAAATCTCCCTCCTACCAATGAGTGAAGTATAGTTGTCATCAGAGAAGTTTCTCTCTCCCTCCTTATCACTCAGTCTCTCCATCAAGCAATACCACTGAGCGGATCAGTACTGTTCATGACAGAACAAGTTGACCCCCTCCCCCAGCTTCATCAGCCAATCTCCACCTTAGCACTGGGTCATGAAATTTCTCACTACTCAGCCCTTCCTGCCTCCAGCACGGACCCACTGGCTCTAATTCTGACATAACTGTTGCCTCAGTATCACCTGCCTATTCCATCTCTCTCTCTGGGTCTCCAGTTGCAATCAGTATCTGGCATACAAATGACTGTTCCATGAGCTTCTTCAGTATCATCAGGTCCTTCAAATCTGATGCTGGAACTTGTCAGAACTGCAATGCCAAAGCCAGGCAGATTATCTCAGGAAAAAAAAACACACAAAATCAACATCTAATTATGCATGTAGAATACAGAACTAGGCAGTTTTTCTTTGCTCATATGTAAGGTTGTCTCTATTTCCAGGAAAATGTGAACACAAAAGTCTTACTTCTACAAAAGACAAAATTTTAAATCTTTTACAGTTTCCATTGGAACCTCACACAACCAATGTTTTTGGGAAATTGTCCTAACATTCCTATTCCATTTAATGGAAATGGGGCTCTCTGATTTGTCACTGAAAGTACACTTGGTGGCCATTGTTGCCAAACATCACCAAAATGATTACTAACAGTATTTTCTGATCCCAGTAATCAAGTGGTTTTTGAAAGGCTTAAATAACTTCATGGCTGCCATGACAATTATGGGGCTGTCTCAATGTGTCATCAGCCTGATGCATGAGAAAGGCCATACTTTGGACCTGGTTTTCTCAACGGGACTGGAAGATGGTGGTTTGGATGTGGAGGGGGTGGTTGTGACCCCATTGTCATGGTCAGACCACTTCCTGGTCAAGTTTAGTCTATTAGCGTCTTCTCTTCTGGGTGTCATCAATCACAGTGACAAAACATCTCCCCCCTTATCACAACAATACACCCATAACAAACACCCTGATCACCATAAACACCCAATCTTGTGAAAAGGACAAAAAGCTGATCCCACAGCTATAAATACTCAAGTATCCCACAAACTACACCAGAACACAGACAGAGTTCTAGCTTCTGTCCTCTGAAGATGCCAGCCACAGAGACTGGCGAAATGTTAGGAAGAAAAACCTAAAGAACACAGCCAGACAGCCCGAAAAGCCTACAACAACCATTGGATCCCAGCCGTGAAAGGCTTCAAGAATAGCCAACTATTTGTTTATTATGAGGGACTTCTCAAGGGACAGTCAATCTTCTCCCAAAGACTTGGAAATGGGTAGTCTCCACTATTAAGCTCTCTTACAAAATAGCCAAGTGGCTACTCTTCCAGCAGGGCTGGACCTATTCCACATGCTCCACGGCAACTTCAGCAGCTTTTCTTAAGGTGTTCAGATATCAGACATCTGAACGGCAACAATGTGATCTAAGCCACTAACCTTCATCAACCACTACAGACTATACTTAAAGGCATGAGCTGATGCGTCAGTTGAATTTGCTGTTCTTTCATCAGCCTTAGCATAATATCCTACCAGCTGGTAAAATAGCTAGCAAGTTACCCATATGTGTGATTCACAAAGACTGCAAAGAAGAAAGACAAGTTACTTACCTGTAACTGTGGTTCTTCAAGTGATAATCAGTGAATGCACATATCTCTCACACCTCCCGCTAGTCTGTCACACTGCCTCTTAGGCTGTCTTTCTCAGTGGACAGGGGAAGCCAAGAGATCACTATTTATGGCACAACTGAGCATCTGCAAGTGATGTTACAGAGCTCTGAAACATTCCTGCTACTGTTTGATGCAAGTACCAACCAATATGTGTGAATTTACAGATGATCACCCAAAGAACTACAGTTACAGGTACGTAAGCCTTACCTTTTCTTTTGAGTGACTGAGCTATGACTATACACTTTAATTGTCGCTATTGTAGTTATGCCAGCATAAATTGCATCCTGATGCCAGAAATGAACTGAACAATTCCTGTCCATTCTCTGCACTCCTTCAGGTTTTGAAGCTCTCTATGATACAGTGGTGCCTCGCAAGATGATTTTAATTCGTTCCGTGGAAATCGCTGTCTTGCAAAACGTGGTTCCCCATAGGAATGCATTGAAATCTATTTAATGCGTTCCAGTGGGGGAAAAATCACTGTCTTGCGAAAATTGTCCATAGAAAACATCGTCCATAGAAAAAATCGTAGTTCCCCATAGGAATGCATTAAAATCTACCATATTGGGGAAAAGCGATCCCCTCACCTGCACTGCCTTTGGAAATGCAGTGGGTCTCAGATGGCCTTCCCCCTCTTTCTCTCTCCAGCAGCAAAGAGGGTGAAAGGATTAAAAGCAGCCCCCTGGCTCTTGATCATGGTGACTCCTTTTGCCCTGATCCTTTGCCACTGAGGAGAGAAAGAGGGAGAATGCAATACAAGACATCACCAGGACTTGCTGCCTTTGCAATAGGTCCTGATGAGGGGGAAAAAGAGATGAAAAGGATTCTAGAAAGACCAGGAAAAGCACAAATGCAATCCCCCATTACCACAAATTATGCAGTTGAGTTCCCCACATTTGGGGAAATCATAGGGATCAGCACACCTGAAGTGGAATGGACGAGCATCGCCCTGGGAAAACCACTTTCATGACCATGGTATTTCCCCTGCAAGGTATGAGTTGGAGTGGCCCTTGCACCTCCTACCCCCTTCTGTGCCCTGCCCCCCACAAGGCATGGTGACCCCCTGGCTGCCCCTCCCACTGATAAAAGGGCTGCACCGCCCCAGTCCTGCCAGAGGCCCAGAGAGCTCCTCAGTGTTTTGGGGTGCCCCGCGGGACCCCCATCAGGGGCTAGGTGTTCCTCCCACAATCCACTAGTGCACAGGTATTAACATAAGGTACTAGCATATATATTTCCCTGGTGTTTTTAGAATCTCTTTACCCTTTGGTCCTTGGTTGTTTTCACCATCCTCTTCTATTTAAATTTGCAGCCATGGCCCTGCTGGCTTTCCAGAAGGCAGATCCTGGAAAGGCAGCAGCATATACTTTCTCTCCCACTTTTTTGGGATAAAAAAGTGGGTCTTATATAATTAATATGTTCCAATGGGGGAAGAAACCATCTTGCGAAGCATTGGTCTAAAAAAAAAAAGTCTTGTGAAGCATAAACCAAAACATCATATTGTGAAAATTGTCCATAGAAAACATCACCTTACGAAGTGCCACAGGGGTCACAACAACTCATCATCTTGTGGATTAATCATCCCGTGAGGCAATCGTCTTGTGAGGCACCACTGTAAATGAAAATGTGAATGAACATAGAGATGTTGATTTAAGAACAGACTTCACACTGGTTTTTAAAAATCAAGATTTTTTAAATTTTACTCATGGTATTTTGTGATATTTTCCCACACAGTGCATTCAAGGCCTGCCATCCTAAGATCAAAAGCTTTTACTTTGCTGCTGAACATCTAGATGACCTCAACAGGTATTAAAATTTAGACCTTGTAAAGAATCAGCCTTTTAATTTTAACATTGCTTTGTTTTTCTTATGTTCATATTGCACCCTCTCTTCTGTCATGGAACCCAACGCAATCTAACATCTTTTTTTTTTAAAGGATCAACTGATAATCAGTGTACCACAAATCAATTTCAGTATAAGATCACTATACCACATAATAGACATACTTAAAAACAGCATTTATTTCTATTTGCAGACACATATGCTGACCCTGGTCAAACAAGGATGAGTTTCTGTGTCTAATTCTCTCCTTCTACAAAAAGAGGAAATTGCTACAGCTAGTGATACAGATATTTTCATTCTCTCTATCCTGTCCATTTTTGAACTCGACCCAGTGACGCATTTACACTATACTTAGCTGCTAGGTTCATGGATTCCATCTGTGTTTCTTATCCTTTGGGGAAAGAGAAAGGATATCTTGAAATCCTTGCCCTATACCAGAAAGAAATTTCTCTTCATTAAAAAAACACAGCTGAAATATAGTAAAGCTGGCTTTCTCAAGTGAGGGGGAAATTGTATCCGAGAATTAGAGGAAAAATTTGGGGACTTTGCATTGTTAGTATAACAGTGGGTTGGTTTGTTTTGTTTTGTTTTGTTTTTGATGGTCTTTTTGTATCACACATATGGCTCTGCATCTGCATAAAGTTACTGTTTACAACCTTCTAGTTGGAAAGAATTTTTACAGTAGTCCTGCTACAATACGTTCCTAAGGTGAGCATCCCTCAGTTCTGCTTTGTGAGCCACAGTGTCAAGACATATAATAGGACACCTCAGAGAGAATAGCCAATATTCATGGTTGCTTTGCTCCATTTAGTTTTTGCTTTTATATTTGTTTTTTCAGGTCATATTTTGAGGATTTTTAGTGTAGAACAAGTGCTTTTCATTCTTCCACTCTTAGGCCTGTGGCCCCAAGAGTCTTCTTTATATACAGTACTAAATCAACTGCAGCAGAAAATCACTCTTACAGGTGCACACGACAGAACGGAACTAGCAATTTTGGCACCTAGGGCAAACAGTCTGAAATACCCTCACAAATCAATTTCATAATTGGTGACATTAAAACAGTATAAAAAATGCAATTACACCACTGAACATTTTGTCAGCATCTCCCATTTTCCACAGGTGATCGGCAGCACTGTTAGTGCTACAAAAGCAAATCATAAGTGTGTGTGCGCTTACATATGTGTGTGTATACACACACACACACACACACACACACACACACACACACACACACACACACACACACACACACACACACACACACACACACACACGTAACTAGCATACCGTTGATTGATATTAATAAGCTGACTTTTGTTCCAGCCCAGAAACCTGGTCTGTTGAGATGTAGGTAGACCTAGGCAGATTTGCCTGATGGAGGAAGAGACCTGACCTACACAATCCAGGCGGACCAGTCCTCCATCTGGATGCTGTCTCCAGTTTATCCCTGTGTAGTTCTGCCTTCCATTGCCTCAGTGTGGTCTGCTGTACCAACCACCTCTCCTCTGCTCTCACTCAGCTGCCAGGTTTACTGGCTATGTGGTCAGTCAAAAATCAGCAGTCCACCCCAGGCACCTGCTATACTGCTTTTCCTATGGCATTAGAGCCAATCTTGGAAGTCTGAAGAAAAGGGCGTACCGTCAAAATGTGGCACGCTGGAGCAAAGGTCTGCTTGCTCCACCCTATTTATATCTCCACTTAATATTCTTCTCATGCAAGCATCAACCTTCTCATGCAAATATCATATGCTCTCACTTCCTCAGTACAGTACTGACATTGACAACACCTTTCAGCATGCTGTTGGCTTCAATACTGAAGGCTCATGTCAAGACCAAGAAAACAAAAGAGCATTAGTGTCAACTCCAGCCTCCATCTAGACACCATTGTGATAGAGATAAATACTCCCTGTCTCCTGTATTTTCATCCTCCAGATTAAGGTTAACATCAATGTTCTTCTACTCAGTGTCTAACATGGCATGCACCATGACATTGCTACTCTCTGAGGTGTTACCTTTCTCCATTTTCTCATCATCACTGTTGCTACAATGCCATTAGCCACAACCTGAATAACAAACCTCACATCTGGTATTATCCCAGCGATGTGCCAATTTCCTCTAAGATCTTTTAGAACTAAACTGGCTTGCTTGATACTGTTTACTGCAATGTTGCCATCTTCATCCTGCTAAGTAGCGTACATTCCACAGTGGCAAGACTTAAGTGACTCCATCACATCTCGTTGCACTCTGACTACAAGTCTGATGCTATTTCAGTATGCATGATCCCATCATCAGCTTGTATCAAGTCATTATTACCAGATTTTAATGTTTATCAACCAGACCCAGCGTCACCTTCAGGGGGCTATACTTCCTGTGCAGAACTTCTGAAGTGTTTAAAATTCTTATAGGCTCCCCCAAAGGACAGTCTACTCTTTTTGATGGCTCACACACTACACAATGCAGCTATGGCACTCCATAGTTTTCTTTAATGAAGATTTAAAAGTCTTCATTGGTCCCATTGGAGAAAGAACAATTATGTGTAGATTTTACAGGATGAAGGGCATGCTCCTTGAGTTTCTTGCTCCTGCTGCAGTGCTAACTAGAACTTATTTTCTGAACAAAAAGCCAAGTGGAACTAAGCCTAGTTAAACCCCAGAGCCTTACAGTTTATCCCTTTCTCACAGGTGAGCCACGTTTATGTGTCTGTAAGGGGTGGGTAAATCAAGTAGAACTCCCAGAATGGGAATTATGAGATTTATAGTCCAAGAAAAATTCAAAAAAATCCTATTTCCTTCTCAGAATCATAAATCAGTAGGTTTAGTTGGGTAGATACGAGCTTTCCCTCTGGGAGAGAGTTGCAAACTTAATGATTTTATTGTCTGATGATGAAAAGGACATTGTCTGTTTCTTCTTTAAAGAAGCATATTTTATTTTCTGTAATACGTTTTAGTTAAGACTATTTGTAGTGAATGTCAAAATTTTGATTATGTACAGCTGCCTTAGTTCAACAGGTCTGACGGACATACTAGGTTTTGAGACCATAGGTTGATGCAGATGTACAGATGAACATTGATTTCCCTATTTTATTGAGCCCCATGTACATAATTAAGATAAGTTTGCAGAACATTCCCTGGCACTGAAAAGAACAATGTGTGTATATCAGGGCTCATCAGAGCTTATGTCATGTTGAATGGATCAGTACAGTATGTTCTAGTGCAGTCATAACAATCTGTCAGTATACTTATTTTCTTCTAGTGGGTGCTTCTTCTTTGCAAAAGTCAGTTGAGGTTTGCAGAAATTAGAACAGTGGTGAATTTTTTTGGCACAAAAAAAGAGAAAAAAACCTGTGGAATATATTTTACTTTCCTCCTTTTTATTCAATATTTTTTAAAGTTACTTATATTATTATTGCAAATTAGGTTTATTAAGGGTTAACTATATTCATCAGGGATCGGTCTATCCCTTATGTTTATCAAGTTTATTGTAAGAACCAAAGAGCACTTTTGTTTGAGTTTCCAGTTTAGAAATCCAGTATGGGGAGGGTCACAACTATTCCTTTTGTTTCAAAGTAGTAATGAAATGTCTGAACCAGACCAGACTCTGTCTTAAAATCTGCTTTTTGTATTACTATTTTACTATATATTAGTAGTAACAATAATGAGGCTTATCAGCATGTACAGTACAAGAAATCACATTTGGGATTCTGAAGAAAATACTGAATCAACTTTGCAAGTCCAGCTTTAATAGTCATTCCCCTCATTTTAAGTAATGAACTCAATTTATATAATACTAGATGACACACTGCAACCCTGCTACTTTCTCTGTAGTCAGTGCTGTATTGTTAGAGGGCAAATCCCTGGATTTTGTCCATAAACAACTAACTGATGAAGGAGTTAGGTCTTTTATTATGCTTTTGTTTGGTGATCGGTATGAATAAAAATAAACATGATCTGTGTATTCTTTTGCTCTGCCTTCACCCCTGGTGAAGATCAGGGGCATTTTCAAGTGGTTAAACATTTCACTTGGTGGTCTGTTGTGTGATGTAGGCAGCAGTGACTGGTTTTTAATTAGAGAACAATAGCAGGGTCTTGCACTGAAACCAGTGGAAATTAAAATGAGTAACAAATAAGCAGAGGTTGCAACTATTTGGCAGTTCTGCAACAGAAGAGGAATTAGTGAACATTTTCTCCTTGCAGGTCCCATATAGTTCACATATTACTGCAATTTTTTTCCATTTTTGATTTTGCTTTATGAGATGAGTTTTTATTTTCAGGGAAGTCATTCTGTTATTATTAAAGGCACGGTGACCACTTTTTGTCAAGACTGGGAAGCCAGTTTGAAACTGTATCTAAGGATCACTTTTCATCTGCAAACAAAGGTTTATAATATAAATTCCTTTTCCACATGTGCAGTGTCAGAGGAAAATGATCAGACATAATTCCTGGAAAAGGATTATTAGTGGAGTATGTTGTTCCACCAGACTACCAAATATATTACATTATAACTGCTAGCTTGAGGAACTTCAATTTAGTCATCTTGACACTCGGGATTAGGAAAATATCTCTAGCTATACCAAAATGAGGCTAATATTAACAAAAATCTAGAGAACTGGGAATCTGCTCTGGTGTATGCTTTCGGTTAATGAACATGACAACAATCCCATAGGCTAGGAGAAAAATCCTACTTCTGTGGGCATTTTATTGCTCACAGTGATATATATATAAAAGAATAGTCTATAATTCATCTTGCTTCCCGGGATTAGGGCTTTTTACAGAATAATTATGTCACTCCTTTTACTTCCTTGATGCACACTACCTTTATCCTATATCTTTATTATAATACATGGGTTTTAAAATTCAAAGGCACACATTGGTGCCACTTTGTATTTAGAAAGTGAAGTTTATCTTGACAAATAAGGATTGGCTAAATCTTTTAGGTTAGGATTTGTTACTGAGAAACCAGATCAGCAAGTGTATATCAGTGTGGTGACACATTTGAGAGCAGCAGATTTAATGGAGCTTTACATATCTGAGACTGCTCCATTTGAATGGTCTCTGGTTTATTTGCTCAAAGTTTTCCATTTGAAGCAGAATTTTTCATGTCACTATATTTTTACAGCAAAATTTTGACTAACTGAAGGCCTAATGAATGAAACCAGCAAAGGACCATGTTCCTTGCTGTCTTAATCTTGTCCAGTTTAAATAATAGACCACAAACGAGATTGGTAACTTGCTAGAATAGTGTCATTAATATATCTAAATTATTATTCCAGGTGGTTAAACAGAATTAATATGCTTGCTGCTGGGTGTGCAGAAAGAGAGAGGATCAAACAAGAACATGGTATGAGTCAATTACTTCTGTTGTTTCATTTTACCACTGTTCTTAAAAGTGAACCACTGATTTTTCTGTGCAGTCTAAATCCATTTTCCTCTCTTTAAAGAACATTATTTCAGATAATGGAAGCTGTTGCTCCTCTGCAGTACTTGATATATACTTTTAAAGAAAGCATGTGAATGCTTGACTTCACAAGAAGGAACATTCCAGTATCCAGTTTATGTTGGTAGATCAACAAAACGCATTGATTTAATTTACTTGACCTTTCAAATTAACTAACACAATGGATTTTTTACATAGTAAATCTTTCTTGTTTTCATGTTAGGCAAAAGTATTAAAGATATAATATAATAGTACCTCTTCATTCATTGTATTATTCTACATATTGCTAACACCCCAGTGATCCAATGTGTCACTTTTTCTTTAAAGAAATGCCTGGCAATAGATTTAAGAAATAAAATGAAGTGAGCTGAACAATGCCAGCAGTAACATTGTTGAGCAAAATGTTATGTAGCAAATAGTATGTAAGTATGCATCTAGCAGAAGTGCTGAGCTCATAACTTCTTTTTACAACAGATCATAACAATGAGTTACAAAACAACTGCACAGCAGGTCCTAAACATATGTAAGGCTGTATTAAAAATTCAGCATGTACTGTGTGAACACTGCTTTTCTCCTTCTCTAAGCAGAAATATTTTTCTTTGCAAGAAAGAAGTTATCTGCATGTGTGAAGCCATTCTGATAATTATACTTCTTAAGGATTTTGTAGAGATTCCAGATTCTAACCCTGTCTCCCACTCTTTAGAATATGTATACTCTTTCTCAACATTTCTTTTAAAAAATACAGAAGCGCATTCAGCCTTTCCATTCAGAGACGGCAACCATTTCGGTCACTTAAAAATGAAAAAAACAACTCAACAATAGTAATCCAGAGATGAAGTATAAACATTGCTTTCAATGCCTGGTAAACTGAAAATCCTGTGGAAACTGAGGGTGTGACTACACAGAGAGGAAAATATGAGTTGATCTGCTGTTGAAATCTGGGTGGAATAATTAGTAGGGTCAACAGCAAAAGCAGACTTAATAAGATGCTAAAAATGCTGATTGACTATTTTCACTTTCTCTTTTTTTAAAACTGGTATCCTGAGTGCCTGATAAAAGAACTTAAAAACCCTTAGAAGAATATATGAGGGGAAATGAGAGCAGCGGGGAGTGAGGGCAGGAATCTAAAATCAAGCATAGCTGTAGTTGGGTAGCAGTGGATCTCATAAACAAAAGATAGCATCATAGACAAAATCACCAAACTTTTTCCACACAAGATGAATTAGTCCAATATTTTTGCATCTCTATGGCTTCTACATGGTCTGTGTTCTGAAGCACACATGTTCTAGAAACTCAGAGTTGTTTGTTGTAATTTACCATTTCACATTATTTATTTATTTATTTATTTATTTATTTATTTATTTATTTATTTATTTATTTTATATCCCGCCTATCTGGTCAATTATGACCACTCTAGGCGGCTCACAACATAAAATACACAGATAAATATAAAAAAGTATTATTACATAGTAAACAAATTCAACAAGATGGAAGGCGAACAATAGGAAAAGAAAGGAAAGGAAAACATCAGGAATCAGCTGGAGGGAAGGCCTGCCGAAACATCCATGTTTTAATTGATTTTTAAAGATTTTTAAAGGCCGTGCAAATCTCTGGAGGCAGATTGTTCCAGAGGCGAGGAGCCACCGCCGAGAAGGCCCGGTTTCTTGTTTTTTCCTTCCATGCCTCCCTTGGCGTCTGGCTCCTCAGCCTCACCTCCTGACTTGCACGAGTGACACGGGGTAGAACTTGGTTTACATCACTTAATTTACAGACTTTTACATGAATCTGCATAAGTGTGCTTATCCTAGGTTCAGAAAAAACATTTATTTTTATGGCCATTTCCAAAGTCATAGCCACATAATCATCTGTTATTATATGAAATAGTTGTAATTAATATTTAAAATTAACATAAAATGAGCTTATTTTTTTAAAATGAACAATATTTTAACTGCCACCCCACCCCATCTGGTATGGTGAATGAAGATGGAGGAAGCTGCAATGTGGAGGCTTCTGCATTTGCCAGTTCTTGATTTAGTATATTATTGGTATATTTTTTTCTCCTTTGAAGAAGATCCGACAATATCTACAGAGAAGTAGAATCATAATTAAGTTACAATAAAGTAAATAAAGTCATCTTAATTATTTTGGAATTTAAATACCTCCTAATATCTCTGAATTTTCAAAAGCTGAAATTCTAAGCATACTTCTGTAGAAGTAATTCCCATTAAACTCCATGGGACTTACTTCTTCAACCACAGGATTGTATTGTAGTGGAGCTCTACTCGCTGGAGGCACAGTTAGGAATTGAATTCCTAACCTCTGGATCCGCAGCCAGATACTAAAACCACTATCCAACAAGCTATTGTAGTAGGGCAAGGAGGTAACATTGGAATGTTCTGGAACCCAAATGCTCTGTGGTCAGAACACACCAACATTTCTGAAGCCATGCTGGTAGGAAGAGAGGGAGGAATGGAATTTGCCACTCCTTTCCTCTGAGGTTTGACTTTTTAAAAAAAATACTTTAAACTTCATATAGGTTTCTTTATTGGTTGCTTTTTCTTGAATATCTATTCTACATACAGTACATGTAATAAAGAAATAATAAAAATAGTTGTTTTTCTTTATATTATTTAGATTACTGGAGTGAAAGTGATAAGGAAGAAGTAGATACACCATCAACACCGAAACAGGACAGTCCACCTCCGCCATATGATACATATCCACGACCTCCTTCAGTAAGTTGTTATGTCTAGTAACTGAATGGCATTTGCCCACAATGCAGCTAGTCCAGAAATATTTGTAGAAGCTTCTATGTTGTCTCTGTGCATTTCAGTGGACATTTTTTTTGTCTGAACACTTTTTAGTGGGTGATTTCTTGACTTCAGGTGTATCATGTTATTGCATATCTAATTATCTAATTCGGTCCTGCATCAAAATATGTCAAGCAGTATTGAGCAACAAGCATGACAGAACTCATTTTAGTTTGTACAGTACTTTGGAATCCCAAACAGAAGGCAGTCCAAGCTAACATACAGGAAGCATGCTTTCCTTAGCTAACATTGTATGCTTATGTTTAGTGGTGGCTGATCTATTAGGGCAAATCTGGTGCTGCCATTCCTCAGGTTTAGACCAGCTTGGCCCTGTCTGCCTCCGTAGGCAAGAGATTTGGGTTCCCCCCCCCTCGCTCAACTACCTGCCACACATTCTGTATAGAGAATTGGAAAGTAGCAGATTGAAGCAGGCTGTCATCCATGACATTGCCCATCATTGGCTACAGTACTTTCTGTCTCTCCAACAGAAATGACATCAGGAGCCATTGCTTAAGTTCTTTTTATTTATTTAAAGCATTTCCCCTGATCTTGAGTTAAAAGGCTCCTGATGCAGTTTTATCTATGATAAAAAAAATATATAGGCAGCCGCCTATAGGAATGTAATCTGAAAGGCAGGTCATAGGATGAAGGGGATGAAGGGAGGAAGTGGCCAAGCAAACTCATATAAGTGTTCTTAAAATCAGCAGCAGTTCTTCTAACTGTCAGCTGAGAGTACCTCAGGCTGAGGAGGAACCTGATGAAACTTTTTTCCCCAGCAAGGAAAAAAGTGGAGTGACCTTGCTTTCCATTTCCCTCTGCTACAAACTGCTGAAATGTCTACTTCCTAGTAACAGAGTTCCAGTACAAAACAGCCAGTTCTTAAAGAGGATTCAGTAGTTTTTCAAAGAATTTTAAAGATTGATTGTTTGCTGATGGAAGTTTTTCTGTCCATGTATCCGGGAGGGGTGTTCCCTCCCAGTGCCTACTGTGTGCTCACGGTAAGAGGTGCTCCTTCCTCCTACATCCACAGCTCTCTATTCAACATAAAAGTTTATTTCCAGATGCTTTCCAAACCCTTTATAATTGTGTTCATGCCCCTCCTTATCCACTTACATATACAGTATGCTGTATTTAATAAAGAGACTTTTTTTTCCATCAGTGAATATTGCAACCTGGTTTGGAACTCAAAACCCTCCACCAAAATGGATATGTTAAGGAAACTGGTAATCATAAAACACAAAATACTGTGTATTGCAGAAGAGCATTTGCAAAAAATGATGTACGTTGGGCAAAAACATGCAGAAATATGTAAATGAAGAAAATGTGCATGAAAATGCATACAAATTTTCAGGCTGATGTTATTCACAATTTTTTCCACATTCACAAACTGAAATTAATATGGGCTTATAGTACTTTGCATAATATAGTGAGCTAGCTGTCCATTGCATAGAAAGCTGAGTTGTGGGGGAAAAGAAAAAGGAAAAAGACATTTCTGCATTGTGTCCCCATTAGGTCCATCAAAATTGGAAAGGATAGTTTTATATATTGCCTTTTACAGTATGATTAGGCTGTAACATTCATTACATACCATTACCCCAGATTCTTTAAATTTTCTTATAGTTCCATAGCATATGGAAGTACAGTCTGAATTTCCTGTAACCTTGCCAACACACTGGAGTTGCATAGATAACTGAATGTTAAAGGCAAGAAGTACCATCTGTATATTATTTTAATTTATTTTCTATGGTATAGACTTAAATTTTTAAAATATAGCTCAATAAAAATTAGGAAGCCAGGTAAAGTTCTTTAAAAGTCTGGCATTACAAAGGCAACAGAGTGGGTACTATGTGAACACTGCTGATGATAGCATTCTGTGCTGAAAAGGTCCCGTTCTTAGTACTCACCTGCTGCATGTTGGATCAGAGAAAACCCAGAGAAGGGCATTTAATGAGCATCTCAAAGTATGGGCAGTCATATATGAAGCTGGATGATTATTTGTAAATATTTAATAGGTATAAATCTGGTTGCACAGTTCCTTGCGTGCAATGGGACCAATGTCATTGCAGTGGTAAATTGCCACTGCTCAAAGTCTTCCTTTTCTAATGTTGGACTGTGTACAGTTCATTCACAATGCAATGAAATCACATGCATCCCAAAATTGCAAAGAAAAAACTCTAATCAATGGCAAACTGCTGCTGCCAATGAAGCCATTCCGCTCACTCAGACACATCCCGCCTAACATGATTTGGGCCCATAACTTCTCTCATCAGTGTAATAACTAGGAAGACATCATAGTTGAGACAAATGCTGACCTGATAAAAATAAAATAAAACATCAAAAATCTCATTACAGTAATTTGACTGCATGTAGTTATAGCATTACATCCAGTCCTCTGGTCAGATCAGGACACTATATACAGTGCTTTCTGTGTGGTGTTTTGAACCTTGGAATTTGGAATTTGCCATTTGTAAGCTGGGCAGAGCTAAATTAAATTTGTCTAAATAATTGCACAGTGGAAGTAGCTGAACATAATGGGGTAAAGGACTAGTGTTAAATGCTTATATCTTTATCTAATATAAATGCAGACTGTCAAGAAGCAGAGTATTTTGTTGTTTAGTTGTTAAGTCATGTCCAACTCTTCGTGGCCCCATGGATGAGAGCACGCCAGGCCCTCCTATCCTCCACTGCCTACCAGAGTTGTGTCAAATTCATGTTGGTAGCTTCGATGGCACTGTCCATCCATCCCGTCCTCTGTCGTCCCCGTCTCCTCTTGCCTTCACACTTGCCCAGCAGCAGTGTCTTTTCCAGGGAGTCTTCTCTTCTCATGAGATGGCCAAAGATTTGGAGCCTCAGCTTCAGGTCTGTCCTTTCAGTGAGCACTCAATGTTGCTTTCTTTCAGAATTGACAAGTTTGATCTCTTTGCAGTCCAGGGGACTCTCAGGAGTCTCCTCCAGCACCACAATTCAAAAGCATCAATTCTTCAGCGGTCAGCCTTCTTTATGGTCCAGCTCTCACTTATATAAATACCTACTGACTATGCAGACCTTTGTTGGCAAGGTGATGTCTCTGCCTTGATACTACCTAGGTTTGTCATTGCTTTCCTCCCAAGAAGCTGGAGTCTTTTAATTTCATGGCTGCTGTCACTATCTGCAGTGATCATGGAGCCCAAGAAGGTAAAATCTGTCACTGCCTCCATATCTTCCCCTTATTATTTATTTAATAAATACCTACTGACTATGCAGACCTTTGTTGGCAAGGTGATGTCTCTGCCTTGATACTACCTAGGTTTGTCATTGCTTTCCTCCCAAGAAGCTGGAGTCTTTTAATTTCATGGCTGCTGTCACTATCTGCAGTGATCATGGAGCCCAAGAAGGTAAAATCTGTCACTGCCTCCATATCTTCCCCTTATTATTTATTTATTTATTTGCCAGGAGGAGATGGGACCAGTGGCCATGATCTTAGGTTGTTTTTTTTATGTTGAGCTTCAGAGGATTTTTGGTGCTCTCCTCTTTCACCCTCATTAAGAG